GTAGAAACATGGCGGACTCTGTAAAAGAGACACACTCTCTGTGTAGATAAAAAAATTTGAAGGTAACTAAAACACAAGGATTATATTCCGGTAATTATACACTAATGAAAAAACATACCTATGAATATTATATTCCATCTGACAATAGATCCCCCTAAAAGGTACACACTGGACCTTTAAAGTCAAAGTTATGACTGGTGCAGGTAACAGCTGATACAGATTGTCACAATCAAAAGCCACAACTGACCTTTTCTCCCAGCCTTCCTCTTATGCCTCTATTTCCAGCTTTCCCTCTTTTTCCCTTTAAGAAGAAACAACAATAGATTTTAGAAAGTGATTCAAGTTTATACACGTTAGATGTCAGATGTGTCATCTTACCTTCTTCCCAGTGCGTCCATCCTTTCCTGGACGTCCACTTTTTCCATCATCTCCCTGAAATAAAATCCACCGATTTGTTTCATGTCAGATTCAAGGCATATTTTAAGTGCAACTCATAAGTAGCAATATGTCACATTAAGCCGAATTCTGGTTTAGCCTCATCTTTACCTAAAGGTTTACATGCTTGTTATATAAATATGATACGAATAATCATAATAATAATGCCCAAGCAGCTTTATTCAGGGTTTATAAATGCAATGTTGTATAAATGTATGAATGTTTTGTAGTTGTTACAGCATTAAAACTTTAAGTAATTTTAACTTCATTATTCCAAAACATTTTTAAGACCTGTCAAAATCATATTTAAGACAGCTGAGATATTTTAAAAAGGGCCTAAAATTCAGATTTTAAGTTTTTCACTTTTTAAGACAACTTGGACACCCTGTTTATTAACTGCATTACAACAAATATCCATCTCATTATGTAATTTACTCTAATAGTAAGTGTGAAACTCCTTTTTTAGACAAAGGGAATATAATTTAATTAATAATTATTTTTTATAAATTAAATACATATTTACATATACAGTTTCATATTTACAGAGAATTTGCTTGAAATGTTTTCTTTGCTTTTACATTGATATCACAATAATTACTTTGAGAACAATTATTTGAATACAAATTTGGGAAGCTTGATCTGAAACAAGTAACAAGTTTGTGCTTATTTTTCCTCTTAAAAAATCTTTTTTGTGACTTTATGGACATAACAGCATCATAATTCAAGATGTTTCTCAAAAAAGCCCTCATACTTAAAGGATAAGGCTTGCAGTATTCTATATATTTGCAGTTGTCAATGAAAACAATTTTTTTAATCCGTCTCTTAATACTTTCTGACAACCCTACCCTGTCTGCTCCAAGTCCATATGTTTTAATTAAAGACATAAATCTAAGTAACAAGAGATCTCAAGCTGTGATACACGATTAATAGTATAGTAGTATTTATTGTTGTTTTAGGTTTGCACATGGGCTTTGCTGACAAGAATAATATTAGCAGTTTTGTTTAATCTTAAGTTATCTGTAACTTATCTTTTAATTACTGAAGATGTTTTTTATTTGAGATACAATGTGATGTGAGAAAATAATCTTTCAGTATACATACAGCATGCAGACAAAGAAGTTTGAGCTGACCTTTTGACCTTTTTTTCCTTTTCTTCCCTCCAGCCCAGGTCTACCCATTGGTCCCTGAAGGCAATACAGATGAAGGTGGTGAATCTTACTGTAAGAGTATTCAGATTACTATACATACTTGTGTGACATATAATGTGTGTGTCTGACCTGATGTCCTTGAAGGCCAACAGGACCCTGAAGTCCCATGTCACCCATGACACCCTGGAAAATGGAAACACAACAACGAGTTTATTAGGGCTACACAACACTGGTATTAAAAGATTTTGTATGGTAATGTTAGTCTTGGTGCTTATGACTACATTTCCCATAAACCCTGCTGCGTTCAGTTCCATCTCTCTCTGATAGACATATTCAGTGAAGGAGGGCTGGCTTCATGCCTGTGGAGCACAGTCTGAAACACACTGTGTGGTTCACAACCTGGGGGTTGGCATCCCCACTTGCCAAATCTTAATGGAAGATGTGAGGCCTTCTTGATTTTAAGGCACAGAATCACTTTACTCAGCTGTATTAAAACACCTACTTTATGAATGACTGGTGATAATGCGGTGCCACCTGTTACAGGGTCCTGATGTCCCTGCCAGGCAAATAAAGACTTCCAGGCGATTAGCCAGGACCAGAGGTAAGACCAGGATCCCATTGCTGGAGGTGCACAGATTTGCTGAACATCCAGAAGATGTGCCACTGCAGATGACATGGACATTTATGACAAAAGGGATGACTTTGAAAACTTTGGATAAAATTAAAGGCCTACATGACATGCCAGTGTTCATCTAAAGATACAGTTGTGTTATATTATGGAATAGAATGCATATTGAAAGACCTGTCTCATATTTTCGCAATACTGGGTTAATAATTTCACTTAGCAACAAAACTAGCCTCTCTATAAGTTTTGCTGGGCGAAAAAAATGACAACAGCCAGTTGTGTGGATCTTCTCTTGCTGACAGTTACGTTTCCATGAATGATTTGCGGTAACCTTTATTTTTTATTGAACTTTGCTTTACGACAGGGGACACAAATAGAGCATTTAATAACAATAAAAAAAATTATCACTAATTTCATGTTAGAAATTAAATGGCCTTCACTGCTGCTCACTGGTGCTCTGCCAGAAAGGCTTTTTAGCGTGCTTAATTTAAAGCCTCTATTTTAGCCAAATCATAATCTTTTCCTACACCCATTCCATGTAGTTTTGTTCGGTCTAAACCTAACCAACTGCTACGTGTAAAACTGTAAGATAATTTAAAAAGTAACATAAGTAAAAGAAATGCTCACACGGGGAGCTCAAACCTCCCCCCCTGTCTCGGCGTTCAGCGTCCTGTGATTAACAATCATCCACAAATACTTTATTGTTATACTGTGTGTAAGCTTTTGTCATGAGGCTTTCTGCTACATTACTGGATGAGCATGAGCGCCTGGACAATCCTAGCTGCTGGAATGCTTACACAGGACCTTGGTTTTATGCCAAGAAAAGCGCCTGTATTCAATAATAGGTAGGTTTTGTTCATATTGCCGAAGGCATTTGGGTCAGAAATTGCTATTATGAGGAGCTTGCTAAAACCGTAATATGTACAAGAATATTCTATAGCAGGACTGTGCCAGTCTTTCGATCAGATGTCTTGTAAGACATTAGGTTGATCAGCAATGACAAATGTTTTAAATGTTATCTTGAGAACCCAATTAAAGACAGGCCCTCGTCATAATGCTATTTTTGTTTCTGGCACTGTGCAGTATTAACACCACTAAATAGACAAACATAAAGTATGGCAGCTTAATTAATTTTGGTGAGCGAAATAAGAAATTTTAGATGATGATAGAAATAAGACTCGCAAGAAGAAAAACACATTTCTGTGAGAGCTGCTTTATTGAATACCACCAGCTTCACCTTAAATTGAACTGTCCAATCAAGGAGGAAACATTTCATATTTTGTTGATTATTTTAAAATTCTAATTACTTAAACACTATTTTCAGCATTCTATATGTTATGTGAATCTCCCTATAAAAGTAACAGAAGGTTATGGAGCTTTTGGGTCTATACAGTAGTCTCCCAACTTTTTTCACCTAGGGAGCCCTTTTCTATCATTGGAGTAAAGTGACATGTGAATTATGTGGTTATACAACTCAATCAGCCATTTTTTGTGAGCACTGACAGGTTGAAATGATAACACTGATTACTGTTATCATGGGGCTCCTGGTCAGTGGGTGGATATATCAGCAGCAAGTGAACATTTCATCCTAAAGTTGATGTGTTGAAGCAGGGAAAAAATGGGCACGGTTGAGGATTTTGAAGTGACTTTGACAAGGGGCCCATGTGATGGCCTAGACGACTGGTCAACATCTCCCAACCTGCAGCTCTTTGGGGTGTTCCCGGGTCTGCAGAGGTCAGTACCTATCAAAAGGGCCTCCAAGGAAGGAAAAGAACCGGAGACAGGCGTCCATGGGGGGGGCCAAGGCTCATTGATGCACATGGAGTAAAGGGGCCCGTGTGGTCTGATCCAATAGATGAGCTACTGCTAGCCCTCAAACTGCTGAAACGTTAATGCTGGTTCTGATAGAAAGGGGTCAGAACACACAGTCAGAGCAGTCGTTGCTATTGGGCTGGTGTAGCTGCAGACCAGTCAGGGTGCCCATACTGAAGCCTGCCTACTGCAGAAGTGCCTACAATGGGCACCATGAGCATCAGAACTGGCCCACAGAGCAATGGAAGAAGGTGGCCGGGCGGATTGAATCTGTTGTCTTTGATATTTGGTGGATGGCGGGTGCCATATGCGTCATATGCCTGGCGAAACACATGGGCACCAGATGCCACTAGCGGGAAGAAGGCACAAGCAGCGGAGCCAGGGGTGTGATCTTTTGGCCAATGTTCTGCTGGGAAACCTTGGTCTGCATTCATGCATACTTGCCGATGATACTTTGACATGTAGCTACCTAAGCATTGGTTGCAGACCATGTACACTCTTTCATTGAAACGGTATTCCCTGCGGTGCAAGTGGCCTCTTCCAGTAGGAAAAATGTGCCATGGCCACAAACAGAAAATGTTCAGGCAGATGGTTTTGAAACACAACGAGTTCAAGGTATGACTCCAAATCCCCAGATCTCCAATCCAATGGAGCCTTCTGTGGATGTGCTGGACAAGAAGTCCCAATCCCATGGAGGCCCCACCTCACAACTTACAGGACTTAAAGGATCTGCTGTAACGTGTTGCGTGCCCAGATACCACAGCCACACCTTCAGAGGTCTAGTGAGTCCTTGCCTCAACGATTCAGGGCCTGTTTTTGCGCGCAAAAAGGGGTGGGACCTACACAATATATAGGCAAGTAGTAGTAGCTTAGTAGTAGTAGTAGTACGTGGTAGTAGTAGTATAGTAGTAGTACGTAGTGTATATTGAAGTTTGCTT